CCGCCTTGGGGTGCCTTCCTTGGTATAGGCTGGGGGGCTAACACTTTCTATCACTTCCTCCTGCTGCGGATAGGAACCAGGATAAATTAGAAGACTATAATACTTTTCTTTCCAAGCTTCAAATAGATTTATTCGGTTCAAAATTTGTAAAACATAACATAAAATCTCGTCCAACGCGTTTCCTCCACTACTGTGGACTTCTTCAGGGACAATAGTGACACATAAAAGACAAGCAATAACACAAAGTGTAAAACAGCCTAATATCCCCCTCTCCCCCAGTCCTTTAAATAGGGCTTTTTCCCTTCAGTCATTGGTGATTCGGTGGGCGTAGACTCTATTTTTCTTCTTGATACGATGCCGTTCTCAATTGTTTCCTTCTTTCAGCTGATGGAAATTGCTGGGTTTTTACTTATTAAATTACTTTTTCTTTGATGGACAATTTATTTACAGCTCACGGGGATTGCCATGGATACCAAGTTTGCCCCCAGCTATGCAAACCCCTACATGAGGAAATGGGAAGACATCTTTGTATGGTCAAGGCATGGCTGGAGGGAAAACTTGGTCCTGTGGAGGAGATTTATAGATGATAATATAATTATTTGGAAATGTTCAAGGGATGCCTTTGGAGATTTTGTTGCCCATTTAAATCAAAACACATTTAATCTCAAATTATCCCAGGAATGAAATAAAGATACTAATAATTTCCTGGATGTAACCTTCTATATAAAAGAAAATAAAGCAGAAAGCAAATGCTTTTTCAAAAGAACTGATGTCAATAGCTATGTACATAAAAAAAGTAGCCATCATAAGCCATGGCTTAAGGGGATAGCCAGAAGCTAGATGACCAGGATCAAAAGAAATTGCTCAGATACAAATAATTTTAAGATACAAGCAGGCATTGTAAAAAATAAACTAATCCAAAAAGAATACAACAAGAATAACATAGAAAAAGAAAGACTAGCGGAAAGGAAAAACAGAAACAATTTACTCGTAAATAAGACAGAGAAGACTCCAAATGACAAATTCAAATATGCTTTTATGATGAGATATAACAAAGACAGATTTAAAACAGTTTAAACACGTTTTGGCTAATACCATGCCAGAATCCAATTTTGGGGAATTATTTACCAGAAAAGCCCCCAATTGTATTTAGAAAAGCACAAAACCTGAAAAGCTTATTGGCCACCTACCTACTTTAAAGGAGGTAAAAAAATAGAAACAAAAATATCTAGATATCATTTGAAGGGGTTTAGAGGATGCTCTGCATGCAGAGGTGTACATACCGCGGACCCCTGCGACCGGGTACCAGGCCTGCTGCCACATTTTGCGGCCCCAAACCGCCGGGGCTGCATATGGAGGGGTCCATCGGGTGGCCCATGCTGTCAGGGCCACCCAATGGATATGGATTGTGAGGGGGCCCGGTCTGCGCTGGGCGCTTTAAGAGCGCGACCGGGCCTCCTGTGATTACATCAGAGCTGGGAGGAAGTGATTCCCCGGTCAGCCCACGCGGGAGGAAGGAGGCGGAGGGAGTCAGAGTGGGAACTCCCATCAGGCTGAGCCACCACTGATCAGTTTTGCACCGGGGCACCATGCACTGTCTGCATGTAAAGCATGTCGAACTATTAAAATAAACACATGTATCAAATTTAAAAGCCAAAGAACAGGAGAAGAATTCCACATAAAATCCGATGTGGATTGCCGCACGAACTTTGTAGTATATCTGCTGCAGTGTTCATGCGGCAAACAATATGTAGGCAGGACCAAGAGAATTTTGAAAATAAGGATATTGGAACATAACAATATCAGAAAAGGCTTAGTGACCCACTTGGTTTCAGCGCACTGCAGTCTGTGTTCCTTCTTTAACTAGAATAGTTTTTCATGCATTGGTTCGAGCATTCACAAGCCAGTTGGAAGGGGGGATGGAGATAGAATTAAACGACTGGCACAGAGAGAGACTTTTTGGATGCACAGACTCTGTACGCTGGAGCCGAGTGGACTAAAAATAGAAATTGATTTGAACTGTTTTTTATAGTCTTTCTAGTATATCTTCGTTATAATTTTAATATGTTATGTTATTATGTAAGGAACAACTTGGGAGAGGCCTGTACCTTGATAACTTGTGTGTAATAGAAAAAAAATTGTATTTGGAAGTATTTTATTTTATTTATTTATAAAATATTTTACTAGGAAAGATTTAGAATTTAATTTTAATAATTTTTTATATATTTTATTTACTTTTTTTTTACTTATTAGAAGTACATATTTTTCTTTTAAAGTAAAATAACTTTTTAAAATAAAATATTTTTCCCTTTTTGCAATATATCTGCATATTTTATATGCTATTGAAAACTGAGATGAATTTAAAGTTTTTTCTAGGTTCGCCTCTTTTAGAGTTGTCTCATTTTTGTGCCTATAACCCTATCTCCCACCTTGGTTAGACATATGGTAATGTCATACAGTGTTATTTTACCAGAAAAGGATCTCTCATTCATTTATCACCACAGACACAGACTACATCGAGACCAGCTGGAAGAAGGATTGGGGACATCCTACTAAGAGTCCCTGTGCACTACCCATGAGAGCCATATGTATAGATTTGGCTCCATGTTTGTGAGTATTTGTGATCAATATTAATTTGTATTCTTTTTATTGGCTATATTATACTATGTTTTGTCTCTTTCTGTAGAACCAACAGACGTGTGTTCCATCTACTGTATGTATTTGTTATATATGGTAACGTCAGTCTCTTCCTAGAAATCCTTACATCGTTATAAATAAACTTGGGTTGCATCCCAGCGTGGAACGCATGAAAAAACTGAACTTTTAGATTACGTGATCCGGAAGTAGAGCGAACAAAGGAACGCAAACAAGATGGCGTTCCGGAAAGGAAAAACCCGGCAATTTCCATCAGCTATTAGAGGGAAACAATTGAGAACAGCATTCTATCAAGAAGAAAAATAGTCTACACCCACCGAATCACCAATGACTGAAGGGGAATAGCCCTATTTAAAGGACTGGGGGAGAGGGGGATATTGGGCTGTTTTACACTTTGTGTTATTACTGGTCATTTATGTGTCACTATCGTCCCTGAAGAAGTCCACAGTAGTGGAGGAAACGTGTTGGATGAGATTTTATATTATATTTTACTAATTTTGTACTGAATAAATCTATTTGAAGCTTGGAAAGAAAAGTATCCTAGTCTTCTAATTTATCCTGGTTCCCATCCGCAGCAGGAGGAAGTGATAGAAGGTGTTAACCCTCCAGCCTATACCAAGGGAGGCACCCCAAGGCGTAGTCTATACAAACACCTTGTGAGTGTAACATGTGAAGCGCAATTCTTGTTGTAATAAACTGTATTTCACCATGTTTGGTTTATTTTTTCCTTTTTAGATAATTAGCATATTCCCAAATATTGTTTGTTTTACGCTGTAACCAGTAGAACCAGCAGGTACATTCCATTGGCGATCCCTTTAGTTTTACAACTTTTCACAACTTTTTAGATCATCGCAATTTTGACAAATTTCTCTGTAAGACTCATTAATGGTCTATTGACGAAAGCTTGCTGCCCAAAACATTGGGATTTTGAAACTGTTCTACTGCAGGTGCTTTAAGAAGGTAAAACGTATATAGTGACTGGTGAGGATATTCTGCAATAGACCTGTGAACAGTGAAAACATTTGGTTTGGTTGATTCAAGATTCATCCACATGGTGTTTTGGTTCAAACAAATTTCATCCATGCAATCGTTTTTGAAGTTTTTTGAACATGCCATTATATAAAAATGATTTATAGCACACTGATGGGTGAATTTTACCCATTTAGTTCACAGAGCAAGTGAAACATAATCAATAGAGGGATAAAATGTGGACCAGAAATAAATAAAATCTATATTTATATATATTAAATATATCAAATAAATATATATATTTTTATATAACAGCTCCTCATTTTTGCCTCTATTGGCCACTTCTCACTTGATCTGCGACTAAAATCAACTTCGTTTCACCCTACCCATCAATAATCTTTTTTCGGCAACATGGCCAGAACTCTGAATTGCGAAATGGTTCACCCATTGTCTATTTTGTTTGTTTGCTTCGGGACTTGGTCAATTTTGGATGAGTCGCAAATCTTTTTAAACCAAATGAATAAGTCTATTATGCAATTATCTACATTTGTTTGATTTGATAACAAATACAAAAGTGTGTGGGTATTTCTGCTTTCAGGAACATATATCAACCTGTCTGATTTGTTTCATTTTATATATTCTTTATTTTTGGTAGTGCAGAGGTGAACAAGCATGTATAAAATTGCTTAACATGTCATGAGTAGTGCACTTTTTTTTTATTATTCTTTAGTTTTATTGTACAAAACTTTGTTAAGACACCACAACAGCGTATATTTGCATATGCATACAGGTTAGGTAGTGTCATGAGTTCTTTGCACATTTTTAACCCCTTAAGGACACAACTTCTGGAATAAAGGGTATCATGACGGAATATTTACGTCATGTGTCCTTAAGGTGTTAACATATATAACCAAGCTTAACTTTATGAGTAAGTCTTTACAGTGAAAAGTAAACCATTTACAAAGCATGCTTATGGTGCAGGAAAACAATATTATTCAAGTTAGTTTCAGTACAGGCAATTATATATAGCAACATGTGTGGCTCTTCTGTAGTGTGTGCTAGGCTATAAACACATTTAGCAGGATGGTCTGCTAGCTTGTAAGCGAGGTGTGTGTATATGACTGATGTGTTCTAAAGAGAGCTGTTTAAGTGAGCCTGAGCAACGTTGCTAATTTGGTTTACCCCTGGATTGCCCCTGTGTAGTTTGACGTGTACTCCGCCTCAGGTAAGCGACTAAGAAGTCAAAGATATTTTAGGCTCTAACATAAAGTGACAGAAAATGACAGAAAATAATATAAAATGGCATAGCATGAAGTTGCATCTTGGATGTGGAAGGGCATAGTGGAGTACCTCGATGCCTTTTGCAGGATAGAGAACTATGTCCTTGAGGCATGCAGGTGATGTGATGATGATGGCATGTCCATGTCAGCCAATGCCTCAGCTCGGTATAGTCGGTGAGTCTCTGGGGTTTTCCGCCTGTGGGAGGTACGCCAGTATGTCGGCTTGGTTTTTCCAGGCTTGGGAGTGGGAGTGCTTCTGGGGTCTATAGTCCTGGATTCCATGAGGTGCCAGGTCCCTCCGTGCCCGGTGATAGTGAAGGCTTCGGGTAGTCCGCTATTTAATGCAGGTGCTGATTTTCCGCCATATCTCTGTCTGCTCCGTGCTGTTGTGGCCAAAGTAGCTTTACCCTCTGACATGTCTGAGGCAAGTTTCATGCTTGCTGCCATGGGTACTTTGCTTTTAAGGGGTTCAGGTTTCCAGTTTCTCTTGCCCTTCCGCTGGTCCCCTTGTTGCTGGGGCTGTGATGGCAGCGTTCGGGCTTCGATCGTTTGCCAGAATCTCTCCAGGCATTGTAGCATGTTATCCACCAATCCTGGCAATGTCGTCTCCCGCCTGTGCAGCTCACGCCCCTGCTCACGGAGCTTGTCCACCATCTTAGATGTTGAAGCCGGACCCACCATGGGGCATGTGTCGGACATCTGAGTGCGGTGCGAGTTTGGGTGTAGGGGACTCTCCAGGGGGTCCGGGATGACCCCCACCGGTCCATGGGACCATAGCGTTAGGTGGTTGTCTCACTGCCAGGCAAAGCAGTAGGAGAGCGGCCGTCTCTTTCCCCCGCTCGGTCGTTGGTAGGCCGCAAAGCCTCGAGTCAGGATTTTCTGTGGCGGAGAGGCCCACGAGAGATATCCACCGCGCCACTGTCGTTTCTGGATCAAGCCTAGGCAAACTTTGCATCCAGGTAAGTGTTTGGCTTGAAAATATCTTCGATTATACGGTACCAGACGCTGGAGCACATGTAACACACGTCTGGTCAGCTCAGTAGCCAGGCCCCGCCCCAAGTAGTGCACTTTTTTATAAAATTAAAGATAAACAGAAAAACAAGAATAACAGGTTTGTTGGTGTACGTTTAAAAGTTAGGCTACCATGTCTAGTTGCTGGTCGAAGGTTAAACTGTTATGCCCATGTAGTTATCACACCTTGAGTATCTAGTGCTTACTAGCAGGATGGAAAATCAGAGCTATCTGACTGCACAGCTTTAGCATAAGCTCTAGACGTGTAAGTGGTCATTGATTAGGTGTTAGGCATGCTAGACTAAGTTGCTCTGAGTGAGAATAAAACGTGAGGTACAACATCTTATAGCTCTCATGGACTTTTTAGCATGGGTACAACTGACTTGGCATAGTAAAAGAGCATTGAGTATAGATGAAGAATATAACGTCAATATACTGCATTCTAGTACTAAACACGATAGGACAAGAGTAGGAACAACAACATTATTTTCCTGGGAGGCTAAATTAGGTGACTAGCCTATGGATAAAAACATGTAAATAAAAATAAAATAAACTACATATAATGAATGAAGATGCACTCATGTAGGCAGCAGGCAATAAAACAAGAAGCTTTGCCAAATCAGATGTGTAGGGAGAATAAAGTGAGTGGCTTCTCCTGACAGTTCAGACCCAAAGTCATATTCAGTCTATGCCCTACTTCTTGGAGTGAAATGGTGCATACGTGTATGTTATTTGACAGATGTAGGGGGCAAGTCTTGTTATTGTATGCACCTATATTTTTGTGTATATATTTTGCATGATTCATGGTAAGTAAATACAGTGTCTGTCCTGTATATTAATCTTATTTAGTTTCTGCAACAATGAGAAAAGAACAAAAAGTGTGGGAGAGTGTGTATCAGTAAGTGTAATTTTAGATGACTTGGAAATTGAGAAGAGATGGCTTTCTATCCACAGAGATGAACGAATAACACCTACCGAAATCTGGTCGGCAGTCTATTTGTCATTCGGTAATTTATCTAGGCACACAAGTCGCAAATAAAACAGCTTTTATGGAAACAGGCCACAGGATAACATTCTTTTTCAGGATGGAGTCGAAACGTCCTGTGGTTTGTAAATTATCCTTGAATATTGCTTAATATTCAGCGATATAATTTTTAAGATGTGGGATAACATCTGGATGTATTATCCAATGAGAGATCTGAATGCCATTCTGGGATTGAGATTGAATTTTCTTCCACGTTTGTTGCAAAAGTGCTTTAAACTGGGTTTTTTTGCCTTCTTTTGGATAAACAGCAAAAACAGATGTGAGATAGACTGCATTTGGACGCAAGTCTTTTTTAGGCTCATGTATATATGTAACATCTGTGATTTGTTTGACTGGATTTCCCTTTGACACTACTGACACTAGTGCAGTGTTATTTTGGAGGCACATTTCAATTTAGTTCTAGTCATAATCTTTTGACTAAAAAGCCATTTTAGTTTTAGTCTTATTTTAGTCATCTAAATTGTTTTAGTTTTAGTCGACTAAATCTAAAAAATTTTAGTCAACTAAAATTTTACTAAAATTGTAAGTTGACAAAATTAACACTGCACTAAGTATAGATGAATTATTGATTTGGACAATGTGCAGTCCCCTTTGGTTTGTTCTAATATAAAGTAATTTATTAACCGATATTGGATTTGGCTGAAAGTCCTGAAAAAATAATTTGTTATTATTTGCCGATTCGTCTGAATCTGACTTAATATGTCTAGTATCTATTTGGAATCCAAAAGATAAATCTGATTATTTACCTGTTGCAATGTTCATAGCTAATGGAAAGTAAAAGTTTGCCAAGTTATATGACTGCAAATAAACATAGTTATGGTTTAAGTAGTTTACATAGGACACTGACTTTACATAGGACACGAGGCCATGCGTTTAGACTGGAAGAAAGAAGATTTCGTCTAAGGCAAAGGAAATGTTTTTTTACTGTAAGAAAAATCAGGATGTGGAATTCTCTGCCTGAAGAAGTGGTTTTCTCAGAGTCCATACAGATGTTCAAACGGCTACTAGATGCATACTTGCAAAAACACAATATTCAAGGATATAATCTTTCAATGTAGGGTAATAACTGCTTGATCCAAGGATAAATCTGACTGCCATTCTGGGGTCAAGAAGGAATTTTTTTCCTAGCTTGTTGAAAAATTGTGCTTCAAACTGGTTTTTTTTGCCTTCTTTTGGATCAACGGCAAAAAACAAATGTGAGGTAGGCTGAACTTGATGGACGCAAGTTTCTTTTCAGCTATGTAACTATGTAACTATGTTTGTTTTTGTTATACTAAGTGTTGTGTGTCTAAAAAGAGGAAACAATGATTTTTTTTAACGCTAAACATTAAATCAGAAGAATCTTGCCATATGGCAGGGAGATAATTAACATTTAAAAATGGGATTTCTAAAATATTGATTAATGGTGCCTTTTAAAGAGCAGGCTTGGCTGTTAAGAATGATGAATGTAATGTTAAAGACGCTGCTATATAGCATAGTATTAAAACCGTTCTAATATGCAGATGCACCAAATGACATCTAAATTATCTCCAGAATGCGTGCATGCAATTTACTTTTGTTTTAAATCATTGGTGCCTTTAATTTGCATTTTATTATGATAATTAGCATTATTATTAGTGATGTATATGCTTCATTTGCTAGTTATTATAAATACAACAACCTAAGGGAAAAGCCAGTACAACTAATGTCTCATACCAACCAACCCAAATTTATCTTTACTAGTTTAATGCAGGACTGACCTTGGCTTCCTCTGCTTCCATACAGGATGGATGGACAGAGAAAGACAGACAGACACACAGACAGATCAGAATCTCACAAATTAGACCTTCTGTTACGTTTATATCTGTATGTCTATATGTGTTGTATTCTCTATTCATACTAAATTATAAACCCCAACTTCCGCTTGTCCTATTTATCTCCTTATTTGTTTCGAAATTTGTCACGCATTTAATTTTGGATATTGTTTACTAGTTTTAGAAACTATGGAATTTTCAAAAAATATTCACTCTCCACGTTTCCTTATTTGATCTCAATCTATTATGCAACTAAATATATAATTTTTGTCATGTGATTCATATCTCACCACCTTGCAGTAATTCACCCTGCTTGAAATATTTATATCTTTCCTTATTTCAAATGTTTTCATCCACAATTGACCCTGCATGTCATATTTTATACTTTATTCAAAAGAATTCAGGCAGTTCACACGCAGTTCAAGATATTTCACCACAACGTTCCATAATATAGCCTGCACTTTCTAAATTTCATCCTTGACAGATCTTATTTCAGTTACTCATCCTGTGCCATAATTATTATTATTATTATTGTTATTATTTATAAAGCGCCAACAAGTCCTGCAGCACTGTACGATGGGTTGGCTAACAGACACGAGTTAGACACACAGGAACAGAGGGATTGAGGGCCCTGTTAATGAGTTTACAAGCTAGGGGAAGTGGGATATAGTGACACAAAAGGTAAGGGTATGATAGAAAAGTAGGTTATTAGGATAGTATTCACTGAGGGCTTAATGTTTTGTTTGGATGACAGTTGCAGGAGAGGAATTAGGGTGTGGGGAGGGAGAGCTGTTGACAGTTAAATGATATGCTTTCTTGAAGAAGTAAGTTTTCAAAGCAGAGTGGAGACTGGGTGAAAATGTAGCAGACAGAGGAAGGGCATTCCATAGGAATGGTGCAGCCCTAGAAAAGTCTTTGTGGCAAGCATCAGAGGTAGGTGTACAAACAGAGGATAGACGTAGGCCTTTGGCAGAGCGTAGCCTAGACGGGACATATTTGTGCATTAGTGAGGATAGGTAGGTTGGGGAAGCATTGTGTTGAGATTTGTAAGCAAGTACCAGGATCTTAAATTGAGCTCTATATCTTATGGGAAGCCAATGTAGGGACTGACTGAGAGGGAGGCATGGGGGGTGTGGGCAGCCTGGAAGTAGAGTCTTGCACCAAAGTCACATTAGGCATTAAATAGGGGCAGATGCGCACATGTTTTTGAGATGGAAGTGGCAGGATTTAGTGATTGACTAGACATGAGGGGTGACTGAGAGGTTGCACACACTCACTGACACACACACAATGACACAGACACACACACATCCTCACTGAGAGACACCCACCCAACCACACACGGACAAACACACAATGACAGCCATACAAACACACATTCACTGACAAGCACACATACTCACTCACAGACACACACAATCACTCAGACACACAGGCTCCCTCACAGACACATAGGCTCCCTCACAGACTCACACTGACAGACATACACACACACACACAATCACTCAGGCACACACTGACAGATATACACACACACAAACTCACTGACAGACATACACACACAGGCATACATACATACACGCACACACACACACACACCCCCTACCTCCAACACTCACAGATTATTTTTTTTATTTTAACTTAAATCAACCCAGCCTCCCTACCTTTGGGAGAGCTGGGTGAATTTTTTACCTAGGGTCCATTGGGGCTACTGGACGGGCTGTTTGGGCAAGCATGCAGACAGGCAGGTGGCTAGTTGAGGTCCAGGCGGGCGGCGAGGGAGTGCTGATTTGTGAGCTCTCCCTGCTCAGCTCCCCCGCGCGCTGCAGAGTGATGCCGGGAACCAGAAT